GTTAAAGGCCGGGGTTTTTGGATTCTTATGTATTGTGCACAAACCAGCAATGTGCCAGACTGTCTCTTTTTGACTTACCCTGCGGATGGCAATCAGCTCCAGGCTTGTTTATTCCTACTTAAAGGTCCAGTGTGTAGGATTTAAAAGGCAGCTATTGGCAGGAATGGAATATAATTTCTATAACTCTGTTTTCATTAGTGTATAATAGCTTAAAACTAAGAATTATTGTGTTTTCGTCACATTAAAATGAGCCGTTTATATCTACATACGGAGCGGGTCCTTACCCATGGAGTCCACCATGTTTCTACAATAGCCCAGAAGGGACAATCCAAACTCAGAACAGAAGTTTCAGTTGTCATCTGCAACCTCACTGCTAGATGCCATTAAATCCTACACACTAAACCTTGAAGACATGTTTAAAACCTGGTCACAGATATATTCTTTCATTATTTAAAAGGCCAAATACTTTAAAAACAAAGATGGTCGTTGTAGTTTCTAGCAAACGTTACTCAAACAGAAGTAAACCGTACAGCTTTCGGGGAGATTTTTAAGGGTCTAAACATTCAGACAATGATATATTTTTCACAAACTGTAAACACATTACACACACACAAATGTTTTTTATAAGAACACCTTTCATTGTTCCTTTAAAGAACTGTGAGTTAATTACTGAGGGAGACATTTTGGAGTTGTTAAAGCTTTTTGGTGGGCAAACTATATAATGCTGGATGTTTTTAGATTGCCTCAAACATACAGTATTTTCAGCATTTTCTTCTGCAATTTCTTTTTTTATTGGCCGACATATTCGCAGATACCTTATGTCTCCAATAACCTGATTTTTTCAGTATTTTTTGAGCATCGCCAGTCGTTATTGCCATGGTCACAGTAGAAAGATGAGAGGAAATGAGGGGAGAGAGATGAGGGATGACATCCAACAAAGGTCTCCAGGCTGGAGTTGAAGCAGGGATGCTGTCATTCATGGTCAGCATTGTAGGGCTGGGCGATGTCAGCCGAAATTGGCACATGACGATGTCTAGGGCTGCACAATTAATCAACATATTTTTGCAATATGGCCAAGTGTAATATCCATAACGCAAGAGCTGCAGTTTTGTCATAAAGGTAAAATGTGTCTCAGCATAACGTTGTGAATGAAGCACTTTGATGATACAGGAATGCCCTGCACCTACAATTGACAACAACACAAAAATATGCATCAATCAGCCACTATAGTAGCACAATTGTCAGGACAGAGGACAGAGACAAGGACAGAGTGCCATTAGCATTGTCCATCGGCCCAACCCACACAAAGACTTCTAATTTATCGTGATTTTTTTTCTTTTTTCTTTTTTTTTTTTTTACATTTTTTTTTTTTGCAACAATGGAGTATCTTTGGCACAGAGAAATAACATATATTATGTTTTGGATAAACAGCGAACACAGTACTTGTTAGTGGCTCACATTCAATGTTGGCTTTGGTCTTTTCACAGGATTTTTTTGACACAAAGAAAACTATAGAATACCATCTGTTTTATCTCTTAACAGTTAGTTGCCATCCAAGTCTTATAAGGTAGAGAAAAAGCAGTAGAATAATATTGCTCGTTAATTAGGAGTAAATTTATGGCTGTTATTCTATTATTTTCGTCAACTATTTGTCGATACTGTTTTATTTTTATGTATACATATTTCATCATTAAACTGTGCTGCCTTGAACCAGCAGCACATTATGTGTGCTGGACCTCTGGTATGATCACAATCCACTCTCTGGCATTTTCAACCAAGTAATGAATAATTTACTGTGCTCCTGGAATTCATTTATTTTTTGGCTGCGATGTGTCTGCCTCTGCTGAAGAAAGGCTGAGAGTCAGTACTCCAGAGAAATCACAAGTTGCCATAACTACAAGTGCTGAGGTCTCAGCGCGGTCCAGAGTGTAGTGCCCCGGAGAGGTGGGCAGTAAGCCGACCATGAGTGAAGGCTGAGAGCTCTGGAGGACCCCATCCAGCAGGAGCCCGGCGCCTGAAGCGCTCCTCCTCAGCCAGAGTTGTTTCTCTGCACAGTTTGCTCTCGTAGGCAGAAGATGAAACTGAATGCCTGATGGTTTATCATATGAAGAAAAGGAATCCATCAACTATTCACTTAATGTTAGTCTAGGACAGCTAATGAGGCAAAGAATACTTGAGGTTATAAATGCTTTTAATTTTCTTTAATTTCAGATGCTCAGCAAGGTTACAAAAAAAATCCAGTGGTATACAGGCTCGTAATTAAGCTAAATTAAAAGATTAAAAAGACTGGGAAATTGAATAGAGGACAATTGTGGTACAAGGGCAATTTGGTTATCTTTTTGTTCATGCTTTCAGCGTGTCTTTATGGCAGAAGTTTTTTTTCCTTCTCCCATCTCACTAGAGGCGTCTTGCAGTGGCACCAAAGTGGCTCTCCCTCTGATAGACAGCCTAATTCATACAGTTGGTGCTGTTATAATCCCCCGGAGGCTGTCTTAGTTTGTTCTCTGCCTTGTTTATTCCAGTGATGTCCTCTCCATCCATCGCTACAAAGGAACCCAGACCACCACAGCTTAATGTTTTGTTGTTGTTGGATCAGTTCATACCTCTGAGGTATTTCACTGGGTTCTTGCAGTGTGTGTGTGAAGAGAAACGTGTCGGCGTTTGTTATCCAGCTCTGTCGCGGTACACTGGGACCACCAGTCCCCAGTCACTCACGTGTACAAGTTTATGTCCAACAATGATGACTTTTAGGGCTGATTTAAAATTCATATGTTTGTCTTGAGTTGGATTTGCAGCTGAGATGAGGATTTGTGTTAGAGGTTTCTTAATCCATGAAATATTGTTTCAAGTGTGGCAGTGCTGCTTGTGCATGCATACGCGTGTTTCAAATATGGACCTTTTGACTGCACGTATGTGTGTTGACATTTTTATTACACCTATTTTTTGTGTGCTCCCATGTCTGTATATTGCACCTGTTTGTCTTTCTCCTGTGTGCCCTTGACTGTTGTGAGGAAAACACAAACTCATGATCAGTCCTGCAGTCCGTTCTGTTTGGTTTTCACCTTCAGTGAATGATACCTGAAACTTGTAGGAACATTTGCATCTGAAGAAAACACTGTGGCACGGAAATTATTCGGTTCTGCTGTGCATAGCTGGGGGAATGTGTATATATATGCATGCATACATACATTTCCCCAAATACATGCATTTATAGGAATACGTTGACCTTTTCCTAAAGAAGCGTATAATGCATGCAAACACTGGAAGCCACTTTATGGTGCGATGCAGCTTTACATCACTCTTAACAGCCCTGTGGTGAAGAAAACACTGAGCTTGGAGTTTAAAATGCAACTGACCATTTTATTGCACATCAGTGAGTTGAGCTCATTTGTTAAAGAAATAGGGGCAAAGTATTCAGAAATGCACTGAATTAGAGGAGCAGTGTGCAGAATTTAGGGGGATATGTTGGCAGAAATGGAATGTAATATCCTAAGTATGTTTACTTTAGTGTATAATCACCTGAAAATAAGAACTGTTGTGTTTTTGCTACCTTATAATGAGCTGTTTAGATCTACATAGGGAGCAGGTCCTCATCCACAGTGTCTGCCATGTTGCACTACCATGTTTCTACAGTAGCCCAGAACAGACAAACCAAAAACTGGCTTTAGATAGGGCCATTAGCACTTTCATGTTGGCTATTGTTGTTAGTAGGGCTGTCCCCGACTAAGGATTTTCCTTTTCGACCAATAGTCATCATCTAGGGCCAATAGTCGACTAGTTGCCCGCTTGTTTACCACATTAATTTAATTATTAAATGATATATTTTGGCCGGGGCAACGCAATGGTTTGAGTTGAAGGTGTGAGAAAGAATAGTATCAGTAACATTGTTAACACTGTGCTACATTACAGAGAAATACAAAACCGTACTAATGAACCTTCATTAATATAGGCCTATATTTTATCTACAAGTGCACGTCACACACTGAGCGAGCCGCCTGTTAATGACGCTGTCAGCAAAGCAGTAATGATTGTGCTAAGTGGCTAATGGGCATATAGCTACTAACATGTTTCAGATGATACGTCATGTTTGTAGTCGACCAATGAAGATGAGTTTACTTATCACCTTGGGTTCGTCCTTCACCTTCTCAAAATGATCCCACACTTTGGATTTCCTGCCCGACATGTTATTAACTAGCCTGTGGAATAACCGCAAGTACCAACCCTGGAAATTAACCTGACTCCTGTCTGACTGCTGAGCGTGGTCACTTCCTGTGTCTGTCCTTTCAAATTCAATTCCCACATGGTCCAGTCTTATAGGTTTTGATTTATTTTGAAAGGCGCAGCTCCTAATAGAGTTTCATGTTTTTACTAAATGACCAATGAAATCTTGCCGACTCATGATTCTGGTTGACTAAAGTTTGGTCGACTATTAGAGGGCAGCCCTAGTTGTTAAGAAGGGGCTCGTCGGAGAAACACTGATATTTGTAATGTGAAACTGCTTTAGTCAGTGTTTTTATCTGTTTTAATCCCCTGGTTCATTTGTTTTGGAGAGGAGGAGACCTCTGTGGATAATTTGGCTTCTAGTAAAAAACTCCTGAACAGTGAACACTGAAGGAATTCCAACCGGGAGAAGTTTCAGCCGGTTGGGATCTGCAATCTTCACCACTAGACATCACTAAATCCCCTTAAATCTTACAAACTGCCCCTTAAAAAATAGAGGCAAAGTATTCAGAAACACACTGAATTAAAAGTTGAGGCATTGAAACTGAAGAAAACACTGTTGTACTCGTATGCACTATCCATGTAGGGCATCTTTGATATCTCTAACATGTTTACTATTTCCAGCAACACAATGGAGGCATATCTGAAAAATCCACTTTGATCCCATTTGTTGCAAAGCAAGAGCAGGTTTCATATTCAACAGATATGTGCGATTATCTCTGAGTGTGTATCTTTTTGTTGGGTGTAATGTGAGTTAGAATAATTAAGCTGGAGGGCTTGATGCTAGATAATGGAATGGGGCAGTGAAAGGCCTCCATAATGACGGATGAGAACTCAGGGCATTGTCGTTAAGAGCAGAGACGTGGAGATACAGCTGCATCACATTTACAGTACGCCTTAGTGCACACACAGACGCATAATCATGAATTCTTTAGACAAACATTCATATTGAGTCGTTTTTCATCTCCAGACACAGACGCACTGCCCGTTGCTATCTGCATAAAGTACATTTCTTTGTGACACTCTCCTTCACAAACACCCAACACAAGCAGTAACTCTAAGATGGACACTTATACACTCCCCCGTTCGTTATATTGATCCGTGCTTACACAAGTATTAGCACTCACTTAGAATGAGAGGCATGTCTGCAGGAGCACAGAGCACAAACACATCCACACAAGCGCACTCACTCACATTTTCTCATGTTGCTCGGCGAAACATACAACACTCGCTGACACGCAAACTTCTCGGGATGAAAACACGCGTGTGCTTTGGGCTGGCTGATTCCTCTCAATTGAATTGGAGCAGCTGATGTATTCATCCAGTGTGTGTGATTTAACGAGGTCCACTCTGTCTCGTCATAAATCATATTAATAATCTTGAGCTTCCCATTGATTTTTATTTTTTTAAGCCTTCCCAGTGCATTATTTGATATCTCCAGCCTTTGTTTCAGATTTAATGAACACTCCACACTCTACACACACACACACACACACACACACACACACACTAAGACTCGTGAAACTACTTTTCCTTTTAGAAGTCTTTATTCATCTGTGTAGAAAAAAAGACGACAGACCAATAAATGGAATAGCGTTTTGCACCCATTTTTATGTTTATACATAAGAGCGTTTTCATTATCACATCTGAGGGTGACGTTTTTAAAGGAAAAAGGATTTCTGCACAGAATGAAAGGAAGCTTCAGTGCTCTTAGAAAAAAAGAAAAGAAAAGAAAAACAAAAACAAATGAAGCAAATGAAAACCTAAAAAAATCCACACCGGAGCTCGTCCACTATTACTGGAACACAGTAACACAGGTTGGAAAAGAGAGAGCTACTGAAAGTAAAGAATGGGTTTCAACACTTACAGGCTCTATATATATATATCACTCATCCCCATCCTCCCCTCTACGGCCTCACTCTTTATTTTTCCCCCCTCTCTACCCTCTCCTCTTCCTCTTTTGATCTCTGGCTGTTTGTTAGCGTTTCCCTTTGAAGTTCTTCCTCCCTTAAAGTATATTAGTGGGGTCAGCGAGAGGCAGTCAGAAAGCAGGTGCTGCTTCCTTCTCCATGCCGTGTGTACATGTTTGCTGAACTGCACGGTGTAGCGGTCGGGCTGTGATCCCTGCTCACAGAACTGTGTCGACGCTGTACTGAGGCCTTTAGAACTGGACGACCTGAGTCAGCTAATTTCCTCACAGAGTGCATCAGATCAGGAAATTTCAGCTGTTTTAGAGTCATGTTTTGGACTTTTATTTTGCCTTAAGTTGAAAATACTCCAAATTCAAATGTCCTTTTGTAGACATGGGGCAATCTGATGACAGATACTGTGAGTCTGTATGATTAATATGCCGATTATCTTTTCAATTAATTGCTTAATCATTAGCGTCTATCACAACAATTTACCGCCTGGGGTGATGTCTTTAAATTGCTTGTTTCATCCAGCTGATGGTCCAGGACATAAAGATTTCAGTGTACTATCATATAAGACTAAGAAAAAGTCAATATTGGTAAGATCGAACAAGGAAATATTTAGCATTTTGCTTAGAAAATGACTTTTATGATTTATTATTTATCGGAATAGTTAAAGATTAATTTTCCCTCGATTGATTTAATACATGAATCTTTTTGTGGGAGCTCTTACGTTAATATCTCTGGTTGTATATGGCCATTTTGTTACAAATAACAAAAAGCATAGCTACTTTTGGCAATATTGGAATTTCACATGTTTTTTGTGTCAATGTGATAAAGTATTTATTATTTGTCAGGTGCTTAACTCACTGTATTACACAAAAGCAAACATTACTGCCTTGTAATTTGTTCGGTTGACACAGTTTGATTTGACTTTTAATTTTAATGTCACGATTCAATTTAACTTTTGATATAAAGTTTATTTTCAGCATGGAAGGCTACACCACATTTGGACTATCCAGTCTTGATTCGTAAAGATCAACAGATCGTTGGTTTTATATCTTGACAGCTGTCATTTACATTTTCAAATTTGTCTTCTTCTTTTTTAAAAAGATGCTTTGATTTCAATAATTGAACCCAAAAGCTCATTTGAATCATTTTTTAATTCAGACTAGAATCATGACACTTCTCGTAATTTAATCTATGGACCGTTTCCTTCATAGAAATAGAAGAAGACTCTATTTCTATGGTTTCATTGCTGTTCTGTTGCAGCTTTGGTCCCTGTTAACATCCTGTCAGCTGCTGCATTAACAAACATTTCAACAGGAAATACACTTGAACCCATTTAGAATGTTTATTTTGTCGCACTTGAAACAGCCTATAATCAGTATTCAATCAAGAAATCCTGAATACTACGTTCCAACACATAAATATCACACTATAAAATTACATGTATTATAATAGATGATTTGATCCATATCGCCGACTCCTACTCTCTTGTATTTTTAACTTTAAATACCAATAAAGACTGTCACAACCACAACTTTTTTTTAAATTGAATTGAAGATAGATTGTTATGAGTGAATTTCAACAAAGAGTAATTAGACCAGTGCAGTTCCGACTTCCACTGAAAAATTATTAGCCGTTAAAACTTCTTTTCAATTAAGAAGGTTTAACCAGGCTCTAGAAGATAATGGGTTACTATTATAAGATGTATGATTAGGTTTCTTTCGCTTCATTTGCAAAGGTAATTTAATAATGAGACCAGACCACAATAGAAATTGGGTACATGCTGTACTTTTTGTTAATTCTGAAAGGGAGATTTTTAATAGGAGTTCTCTTCAAGCCACTCATTTGTCCTGCAGTCTTGGCAATCATTTTACGTTTTTTTGATTCTTTCTGTATGATTGTCTTCCTTGTGATGTCCTACAGACATTTGCATGTGAAGTTATGATGAAGATAAATGATGCATAAGGTGGAAACTGTCCAAGAAATGTCATTCAGTGAGACTTTAACTTGCAAAACATCAGTCCTTGAGGAAAGAGCGCAGTCTGTTATCAGTCATATATTTGCTGAGTGCAGTATGGATACACTGTGGGTTAAACTTGAGGCATTTTTTGGATGATGATGTCACATTATTCCAGCTGTCACCCCTCTTCGTCACCCCGCCCGCACCCTTCTCGATCCCCCATCTTCTTTTCCTTTTGTCTGCTTTTTTACCTCCTGCCACTGCATTTGTCACACGCCCTTTTTTTCCCACTTATCTCCCTTTTTTCTCTCATTTTCAGTCCTCGCTCTCTGCCTTAAGCCAACACACACCTCTCTCAGTGCCTCCCTTACCCAAAACAGCACCCCTCTCTCTCTCCTTGTCTTATTTTCCGTTCTATCCATCCATCCATCCATCACCCCCCCCTACCGACGCTCTCTCGCTCTGTCTTTCCCTCCCTCTCTCCCTCTCATTAGTCTCCCCATGCTGTGGTTTGTGTCTCCCGTCTCTGTCAGAACTGTTATCACTGCTGTCAGCTCCCTTGGCGAGAACAAAGTCGTCCTCTGCTCACGGCACCACAAAAGACACGAGAGAAATAAAAGGAAAGAGCCTCAGCCAAAAAAAAAAGAGGCGGAAAGGAGGAAAAATTAAAAAGGAGGGGAGTAAACTAGAGGAAAAGGAGGGGGCTAGGAACACATCTTTTCATGTCAACCATGATGCATTGTCATCTGTGGGTTATAACAACCATTGATTTCTCCCTCTGTCATCCCTTTTATCTATACAGCACAGAGCTTACAGTTGGTAGGAAGATATGAGAGCTATCTCTATACACATCAAGTGCCTTTTCCTCGTATTATAAATATATCTCCTGCTAAATCAGCTAAGCCTAGTATATCAACCTCAAATAAGTTACTGTGTATTATTATGAGCTGAGAAGAACAGTAGGTTTGAAAGACACTGAGATATCCAAAAGAGAAAACGTAACCATTTATAACTATAAGTAGCGCTGAAAGAAGGACCTACTGTATAATGTAGTATACAGCAGTAGAGTATAGTAGGACTGTTACTTCTGTCACTCAATAGCAATGTCCAATCAAGATAGCTGAAACCAGTCTTTTCTACTTAGCAAACCAATCAGAATTGAACCAGCAGAGGCACAGAGGTTACTTTGGAAACCAAGGACAAAACAGCCACCGGCTGAGAGGTCGTCATCACAGAAATGGCGCCTGGCATTCGTGGCTCAGGGAGTGCGTCCCTGTATCATCACGTGTAGGCATAATCTATGTCGGGGATGCCACCCTCTCTGTAGCCACGGTTGGTACCATAAGTAACGTGATGGTGGCTGGTTTGGCTGAGGATGGTGCCATTGAGGCTGCCGGTTCCGTGGCTGCTCCGGTAGGTCCCATTAGCTTGGGAGGAAGAGGAAGAGGAGGGGAAAATGGTGTGGATGTAGGTGACATCCTCCAGCTTAGGCTGCAGGGGCTGATGGGCCATAGCTGTCATCTGAAACCCTGCAGGAGGGGCCCTGATCTCTAAGATGGAAGTGTCTTTCTTGGTGCCTGACTCTACATAGTCATCATAATGTTTCCCACCCCGGCCCCTGCTGTACGAGCCTGAGTCCCCGGACACGTAACCTGCTCTTTGTCCATACCAGCAGAAGATGCCAAAGATTAACAACAGGCTTACTAATGCTGTGGCACCCCCTATGATCCCGGCCAGTGGCAGGGCTGTTAGTTCTGAGTCCTGTCCCTCTTTATCTGACCCCTCCCCTCCTGCGCTGACCAGAGCCTCTCCAGTCTCTATCTGAGCACAGGCTGGGGCAGAGTCTTTATTGTCGGTGTCCATGCTGCCAATTCGAGATGAACCCATGCTGGAACCCCCAAAGGAGGACTCCTGTCGTAGTGGCAGCAGGCAGATGAGGTAATGGGAGCGTGGGGTGAGCTGGGTGAGGAGGTACTGCCTCCTCTCTCCAGGTACCAGAGTCTCTGTTATAGAACCAAGAGCTGCACTGCTGCCCAACCTCAGCCATGACAGGCGGAAGGAGGGTGTCGGCTGTGGGCACAGCCAACTCACCAGTACACTGTCCGAGGAGAGAGGTTTTACAGTCAGCTCCAGGGCCTCTCCAGATACCTGTCCCCCTTCACCGGGAGGCAGAGGCATAACAAGGCCCGGCCGCTTGGCTCGCAGGGTGAAGAGGGAACCTTGTGTGGGGACCAGTAGAGAGGAAGTGGTGGTGCTGCCATGGGGGACTGAAGCGACTGCTTGGCCCCCTCCAACACCATCGTCACCTCCTCCATCTTTTTCAGATGGATTTGTCCCCATTCCAGTACTGGGACCAGCAGGGGGACCTTCACATTGCTCCATTAGGGAGGTTAGTTCTCTGAGGGCCTGGCCCCTTACGGGCTCAGGCGCCTGACAGGTCAGACCCCTGACTGTAACCCCTGCCCCACGGCTGTGCAGCCATGCGTGGAGCCAGCGAAGGTTGCAGCCACAGTACCAGGGGTTTCCTCTCAGCAGTAGCAGCTCCAGGCTCTCGGTGTCCTTCAGAAGTCCTCTCGGGAGAGTGGTCAGATTGTTTCCCGACAGGTCCAGCCTCTGTAGTCGCCGCATCCCGTCCAGTGCCCCTCGTGGTATGTGAGTCATTCCGTTGTCTTGCAAATGGAGTCGCACGAGGTGAGCTGACGGCAGGTAGACTGGCGGAGACTGCAGGGCATTCCTCACCAGTGACAGCTCAGTCAGATTGGAGAGACGGGAAAAGGTGTCGTCTGCAATGCGTGTGTTGGCCAACAGGTTCCCATCCAGGACCAAGCGTCGCAAGGAGGAGAGCCCCCGAAAGGCATGTGTGGGGATGGTGCTGATTCTATTGTCGTCCAGACGCAACTCTTCCAAGGATGCTGGCAAGCCTGCAGGGATGCTTGAAAGGTGGTTCCGAGACAGAAACAGCAGTCGAAGCCGTGGAGTCCCAGAAAAAGCTCGCTCCTGGATGCTAACTGTGGATATAGAGTTATCATCCAGGTGCAAACGTTCTAGTAATGGTAACTTGGCCAGAGCTGATCTCGGTAACGTTCGTATATTATTATCCTGCAAATGGAGCTCCCGTAACGAAGGCGGGAGGTGTATAGGGAATTCATCCAACTGGTTGGCATACAAGTAAATCACTCGTATGGAAGTGCTGCGTTCCAGTGAGGGAGGCAGGCCAGCGTTACTCAGCCGGTTGCTCTGCAAGTAAAGGATGGCAGCCATTAGTGGTAGTGGAGGAATTATGCTGAGGCCACGGTCGTTGCAGTAGACAAAACCCTCATCACAGCGGCACACTGAGGGACAAACAATGCCCTCATCTCCCTCGCCCGTCTCCATGGCGATTGCCGCTGCCGCCAGTTCCAGCACCTCAGCCAATAAGGTGAGGCACAGGAGGAGCAGAAAGAGCCAATCACGGAGCTCAGCAAGACTCTCAGCTGCCATGTTGGTGCACAGCTCCTAAATAAAACAGAGGAAATGGGAAACGGAATTAAAACAAGTACAAAGGCTATCAGTCACCAATTCTGAAATCAAAGTAACTCATTACATTCAAAGAGGAAGTAGAAAGAGCTGTTGGAAAAAAGCACAACCACTAAGTTAACCTCTTTCTTTTCTACTGCTTAACTTATGTGCTGTATTTTCAACCTGCTGATAAAAGTAAAGTTTTTCCTTTATCTAAAGTGGAGAAGCTGTGGGGATTGAATAGGCAGACATACTTTATAGGGGCTGTCCAGTATTATATGGGTCAGAGCTACCAAGCAGAAGACAAATGGACATTTAGAGGCAGAGAGTGTGATGAAGGGTTGAGTGAGTGGGCGAGGGAGATTACAAGAATCGGAGAAAGCAAAAGGATGACAAAGATGGAGAAAATTGGACAGTGACAGTTGCAGGGAGGGAAAATAAGAGAAGAAGATATTTTATGGAGAGATTAACTGAAATGGAGTGACTGACATGAAACTAAAATGGAGGAGAGATCGGAGAGAGGGAAATCAGATTAATTGCCCACAGTGCTGTTGATTGCTTTGAAGACACCAGATGTGGTAAACTTGTTGTGACTGCACTTTATCTGACCCTCAGATTAAATTATAAAGAGAATACATGTGGATCAAGAAACAGAGGAGCAGGATTTCACAGGTTTCTGACTGTATATTCACAAACACAGGGCATCTGTTTGAGGTCATGACCAAAACACACACAGAGAAAGGCACACACAAATAAGTAAACACACCGAGCACAAAGCATTCACATACAGAACAGAGTCTCGGTACAAGCTGACATGTATAATGCATGTTTTCTCTTGGTTGTTATTGTTCGTGAAATTTCTATAAATTATTCAGGAAAGCGGTCTTGAAATCCCCAGAAATGTTTTAGCGAGATGTTTTACAGAGAAGCATTTTTCTGCAACATTAATACGTTCCTCAGTCGATGTTTTATGACTTTTCTCCTAGCGAATCCCTGACACCGACATCAATAACATAAATTTACAATTCAGATAAAAATGATCTCCATGCACTCACATTCACGGCACACTATTTATAGAACATGAATACTATACAGTAGTGAAAGTTGTGGAAATTACATTGTGGTGTACTCTTGTTTGAATCCTTTCTTTTGGGTAGCCTGGGGTGGAAAATGTGCCCTGACGTGAAATGCCTGACATGATTTGACAGCACATTTGATAAACAAATCCTCTAAAGGCAAGTGTTTTTTTTACCCCCTCCCCTTCTGTGCATGCATGTACATGTGTGTGTGTGTTCGTATGTGAACTCAGTGCTAGATGCAAAATTGCCCCTTGGCTGCAGTCAAAATCCATGCAAAGCAAACAAGAGATGGCAACAATAGAGGAGACGGAGGGAGGGAGGGAGGGAGGGATGGAGGCGAGGAGACAGATGGAGAGTTGGACAGTCAGTCAGCGGAGGAGAGGGGAAATGAGTTCCTGGCAGTGAAGACTCAAGTCAGTATTAGCTGAGTTTGCTGCAAAAAGAAGAATGGTCGGTGTTGTTTTTGCTGTAAGATAGGTGTAAAAAATAGCTGCATTTGTGTACCTGTTCATGCTTGTTTGTGCCTCTGTAAGTGTGTGTGTGAAAGAGATCTGCATCAACAACAACAACCAGCTCCTGTCTCTGCTCGACACAGGCAGCATTTGATATGTAAGGGTGAAAAAGACTGTGTGTGCCGCACAGTTCGGCATGGACCCAGACTTTATTTTTCTCTTTTCTTAATGGTATTTTTAGCTTAAATCTTGACGATTTCCAAGCATTCCCAGCATTTGAGAGGCAGATAAAGTAAGGGGGAGAAACACATGCACACAAGAGGGAGTGTCAAGGTAGGAGCTGAGACCATATTGGGAATGCTCTATGAATATCAACTAGCATATGCTTCGGTGCCACACTATCCCCGCTTCCCTTTCATAAATATCCTCTTGGCACAAACCTGTACGTGTGTTTTTGCCTACATGCCAAGGTTTCCTATCGACACGTCCTTAATGATCCTTAGATTTTCTGTCTTCCTCCCTGCCTCGCTGTCTCACTCTGTCCAACTGTCACTCTCCCTTATGGCGCTCTCCCCTCTGTACATCTTTATCTTTCACGTCGTCTCCCTCTCCCATCAGCCCACCACCACCACCTCCTCCCCTTCATAATCTTTCATTATATCCACTCTCAGGTTTGTTTACAGAAGTGTCCGTGCAGTCGCCCTCCTCCGCTCCTCCCCTGTCTCTTTTTCTCTTTCTAATCCTCTTTTATCGTTTCCTCTCCAGTCGTCTGTTGATTCCTACATACCGAGATTGGATCAATCAGCTCTGGTTCAGTCCTCCTGCCCAGACCTCCTCTCTCCCTCTCCCTCATGGCGACTTAGTTTCTCTTTTTCATTTAGATGCAGCAGACCCCCCACCTCTTATTTTTCCCCACCTTCTCTTTCTCACTCCCTCTAGGCCTCAGCTTTCTCGCCTCCGCATTCGCCTTCCTCTCCCTTTGCGATGCCCCCCCCCCCCCAACATTTCAATCATGTTCTGAAATAAAAGCCTTTGTGTGAGCACAGAGCCCGTGTGTTTGTTTTTTTCCTATCATGTAGCTGAAAGGAAGATATAAGTGTGCTGTTCCTCATTGCGGTGAATGCAGGAAGAAAGTGTGAGTGTGTGTAAAAGGTCTGATCGACCCAGGGTGTGATTGCAGAGGGCTTGCTAACCTGCTCAGTCTCTGTGCCTTTCACGTCCGCCGCAGCTTTGTTTTTCCTGTATCAAGGATTTGTAGAGAAGAGTGTTAGTGTGTCTGTGTGTGTGTGACTGAGGATGTATCTGTGGATCTCTGTGTGTTAGCGCAGTTTCCCAGTCTTCTTTGAATCGTTCACAAGTGTAGCCTCGCTCCTCGGGGCCGTTGAATCTTCCTCAGCTTGGGTGAATGATGATAGGGATGATGATAGCCTGTACTCCAGGGCTCCGCAAGTAGCAACACCAGCATGGCTCAAAGCCGCCTCGGCACCCACATTTGTGTGTTGTGTGTGTGTCCTACTGCCAAGCTCTCTTTCTCTCTGGGGTAAGGGGCTTTTAGGCCTGCCAACTCAAGTCATCTTCAATGAGTGTCCAGAGGCCTAATTCTGAAACCACCGCTCCACACCCAAACGCTACAGTTGGGCAGACAGTCAGAAGATGGTTGACGGCTCAAGGGTCCTTCTTCGAAGTCAAAAGCAATCCTGGATACTCATGCAAGCACTGGGTCATGCAGAAATAGTACAGTGCTGTGCTACGCTTGCTTTCAATAACCAGGTAGTGGATTTAATTAATGAGCAACAAGGAGAGAATAAGTGGGATTTCCGCAGCTCAGAAAAATCCAGCAAAGAGTCCTTACGGTTATTAGCTGTATTATAACAGTTATTACAACATAGATTTCACAGTTCAGTGATGGTAATGAGTACGTTTGAGGCTGTGATGGACAGGTTGGCCTGGTGCAAAATACAGGCTGTAAGAGTCCAGAGGTTTCTTTCTTCCTCCCTCTCACTTTCTGCCTCACTCTCCTCTGTTAAATTTTTGATCACTTCCTTTTCAGTTCACACAGATGATCTTCAGAGGCAGCAAAGCACGCTGGCTGTGTGTACTGTATGTAGTACGTAGTACACCCTGAGCGGCACTGTGATGGCCAGTCACGTGGCTCAGTGTGAAAAGTTCCCCCACAGGTTAGCAGAAATGCACCGCCATCTAGTATCCCCCAAGGTAGACGTCACTGGTGTTTGCTTCAGCAGGACAGCTGGTTGAGTGTTAGAGAGCACCACCCTGAGAGGAGACAGCAGACAAGTACAGTATTAGACTTCTCATTCAGAGATGAATTAGAGTAACAAGGTATCTGAAATTTAGAAAGAGGAAAATCCTTCTTAAACCACGCACAATGGGCTGTTTTTAACACAAAAGAAATGAGTGCATAACAAGAGCCTGCCAGTTTTAAGCTCTTTAACTACCTTTTATTATTAAGTCAGTCCAAATCTTAGGGATTCAGTTGCAAGAAATATATAATACAATATTGCCTAAATAAGGGTGCGAACTTAAGGGGAGCTGGGGGTGCTCAGCTCCTCTTAATAACACATGAGCTCCAGGGGTGTATTCCTGCTGAAGCGCACCAGAACGTCGCTCTGCTACTTTTTTTCTCCAAGTGAGGAAATAGAATATTCACATAATTCGCATAATCCGGTTTAAATTCATGTAAATGTCTTTAAATGCTTGATCCAATCATTACTAAAGCATTAGCCATTAAAAATAAATGGAATGGGCGAAGTTGTCATGTTAACTTTTAAGTTGTGTTGACTGATTCATGACGTCAAGTCCTTGCTTTGAGTGACATGCAAGAAAATATTCCACCTTTAAAGTTGCTCGTAGCTGTTGGTGGTAGCCTTTGAGCAGCCTGGTGAATTGATTGTAAAAAAGTAAGGCAGCAAAACATCCTTTCATTTTATATTTAGTTGTCTGGTGTATGTGAACTGGCTACTGCAGGAACAGTGGTTACATAACCTTCGAAACCAACCACAGCTTCACACAGGTGTTCTCTGGTACTTAAACAAACAGCACTACACCCCTGATGAGCTCCCCGGAAGATATGATTTGTAAAACTCTCTAAAATATTGGCAATATGCTATTTTTGCAATGCATTTTGATTTTTATGTATCTTCATCATCATGGATCATATGTAAAAATCAGGCTGTTATAGATGCATGATTCATGGATGAGGGTGAGTCATTACTAATTCACTTTAATAAAGATACCAGCATGCATGCTATATACCCGTGTGGAGGTTTGATGTGGTCATTAACTGAGTATTTTATGTCAGATGTGCTGACAAAAAGCAAGTGAGCCTACATGCTCGCAGCTATGAATGTTTCTGTGCAACAGTAGTCACAGTCAGTCCACTCTTTGAGCCACAGCTCCCTCAGAAAGCCATGAAATAGTCTGCACAGTTAAGTTATCTCACATATTTGTCATGCAACTTGTACACTTCAACTTGTGTACTTTATTAGGAAATTATTCAAATATTGGCACAGGGGCTTATGTGTATTTTCCGTCTTTATGGCTAAAATAAATAAAAGTTAAGGTGCTTTTACAGGACTGCATAAATGAAATTCTTTCCTGTCCTTTTTTTTTATAACAGCTGTCTTTAAGTGACGCCAAGATGTACTTTTGAATTTCGACTTTGGCACAATATGGAATACTAAAAGCTATGGACAAAATAATTATCCCCATCAGAACGGTTATACCTTTTAAAATTAAGTACCTCGTGAAAATACTTCCTGAAGGTCAACCCTGCATATGCGCAACACTAAGCTCCCAATGGACACAAACCTCCCATTAAGGTAACTCCATGTTTTATATCTGTGTTTTTTTTTTTTCTTCACACAAAGCTTTTGAGCTTTCATTAACCACCACGCGTTAAGTGCCTGTATCTCGCGTGCAGAATCAAACCCCCAAGTGTACACTGGCTTTAGAAATATAAGGTTTTCATCAGGCATACTGAGTGTACAGAGACAGATTCATCAAGGCCATTAACTGCTCCGCTGCTCACATTCGCCTGTTCACTTCATCCCAGAGTAAGTAGACTACATAGCCAACTGGGAAATTATCATGCAGTTTGCTTAAACACAAATAGAGACAAATAAAGCCGTCCTCATTTTCATTTTCAAAGGACACATGCTGCAGCTGTGAAGAAGTTGGTCAACAGCCTCGTGTCTGCGCGTGTATGTATCCTTGAAGGGTGTTTAGAATCATCCCTAATGGTGCGCCATACATCTTGAACTCAGGGTGACTGTGTGTGTGTTTCAATTTTAGATTTGGTGTTTTAACTGGTTCCACAAATGGAAAGGAATGTGTTTAATTGGGTGTGCAGTTTAGTGGGGTAGTTATGTGGTCAGAGTGGGATGAAGTTGGGCAGTGTGTGGTGAGATAAATTGTCCTTTTTATAAAACAGCTCCCAGACTGATATCCAGTTTGTGGCATAGTAAACTGATTTATATGTGCAGAGTGCGGCTAACATGTGTAATGAAAACAGCTCGAGACGGCAGAGAATGCTAAATAGACATTGTTTGCAAAATGCATCGACTTTGTGATTGGCATTTAAGGAGAAATGAGATAATGGTCGGTTCAAGGGCAGGCTGGATGTATACACAGCTTTATGTTTGGTGCTGTATGAGAGTTATAAAATGCTATATACCCTCTTTATTCCATTCCTTTTGTAATTCATTGATAGATGTCTAATGCTTCAAAATAATTAAATCCTCTCATGTTAGTATTTTGGAGGGCAAAGCTTTTAAGTAGCTCCGAAGTCAAACCATAATTCAAATGAAGACTTTTAATTGGATGTCATCAGTCATGTATTAAAAGCAGATGTCACCTTTAATGACAGTAACTGTCGTTTTAAAACAAGTCCCCTTAATTGGTGGCAGTGTCTGGTCCAAAACTACCCTTACACTCTGCACTAATCTTTGCCTACCGCAGGCAAAATGTCTGCCTGCGCCAGACAAGATGTGAATATTGAACATCAGCAGCATTTCCACAGCTCACTGCCATTGCCCATTAGACATCAATATGTGAGGCTCTATCTGTATAATGTCGAAACTGTCCTTAAAACTTTTTGTGATGGATTTTCAGAAGCCTAGCTGCGGGGAGTGTGTTGGGGAAGAGGAGAGGGAGGAAATGGAGAGCATTAGGGAGCATGGATCAGAGCAGGGAGTTAAGAGAGAAGAGCGAGTCATTTAGCAGAGAGGAGGATCTGAAAACAACATTCATCAGAGTGCTGAGGAAAGTTAGAGGAAAGTGTACAAAGTCACTGACTTCTGTTTGTCATAATGTTTCAATAAATTGTTGAAGCAACAGAATCACTTTTCAAATGAAATATGTCCCTTATTAATTGCCACATTAGCGCCACACAACATTTATGCAACACCTGAATATACCGGTTAACCTCCAAGAAAGAGATTACATAAAACCTGTTAGAGGTGAATAGATGCACCTTGACATGGAACCAGCTGCATTTAACTGGATCACAAAGGAGCTTTGAGTGCTCATTGAGTTTATCTCCTCTTTCATATACTTTCCCTGCCTTTGATGTTAATAAGTGCAGATTTTTTAAGGGCATGCTCATTAGGAATCTATAAAAACTGACATAGCCGAGTGTCCTAGCAGTGGCAACCTCTTTCACTTTCAAATTCAGACAGCATAGAAAACTCTTGACTTCTAATTTGGGCGGTAAAGGTAGGTCAATGTGAGGTCAACAACTGTGCAATACAAAGTTCCATTTTGTCTTGAATAACAAGCTATACAGTTGAAAAGTGAAGATGTTGATTAACTGGACCCTATTTAAACGCTCTGTAGCACTTGGTGTTAAGTGCACGGTGCAGGTGCATTTAGTGTTTGTTCAGCTCGTTTTGCAAGTTTAACGGTGCATAATGTTGCTGCAAAGTAAGGCGCAAGGGGCAAAGGAGTTGTATTTATTCCCTTCGTTAATCATAGGTGGGTTTTAGGCATGATATGAATTCAACTAATCAGAGTGTCATCTCATCATTACCTTTTAAAGCCAGGTGCATCTACGCTTGGCGCATTGCTATATACATGACAGATTTGGTAAACTGGGCAAGCGAGCAGTTTTCTGCAGTAAAAGGAAGCGGCATCCTCTAGGGCTGAAACATGAAGCCAAAATGTAAGTGCCAGTTCCTTGAATGGACACTTGAGGCTGGCTTCAGAAGCCTGTCAATCCCCACAGACCCCCCCATGTTAAAATGCCCAACTTTACAAAAGAAAAAACATGTTTACAGCCTGGTGCAAAAAACGGACGGTTTTGGTCTCTAATACTAATTTCTCCCTTTATGACAACTGTACGGAGGATGTTTTTTTATTTAACTCACCTGTTTACATTTTATTGAGCCTTAAAGTTAAGCATAATAAAGGCAGGACGCTTTGAGTGACAGGCTGTCTGCTGATAGTGTCCAGATCCACCCCATGCTCCTCCACAGCACCAGCTTTTCACCCTAATACAGTCACTTCTGGCACCAAAACAAGACACTAACAGCCAAAATGCTAAACTTGAGGCTTCAAAACCAATGGGTGATGTCACAGTAGCTAGGCCCATTATTTTACAGTCTATGAGTAAGAGCGGTTATGTCACTGCAGCAAATATCACGTGACATTTCAGCAGCAAAACTAAAAACTGTAGTTATAAACTTAACAGAGGAAACAGAAATAAACGTTCAGCTTCTGAAATAATCAATAAAGTTACGCTGCTCCTTGTGCTTAAACGCGCAGTGCCTCTTGTATAGTGTGGGGTCAGACGGCAGCTCTGCTCTCTGCTATGCTCACATTGAAGAGAATGAAATTAATATTTTCCTCATTAATGATGTATTATTTCACCCACCTTCAACCCTAGTGTGTGTGTAACAAGCAGAATGTATGCACATTGTGTGAACTTGCCTTTAGGCGCATCTTACTCTCTGAATAAATCGCCCTTTAAATAAAAAAAAATAATGTGCTATTGGATTTAGATCAGATTTTGTTGGTCTCTGGTACTAACGCCTCTGCTGCCTCACAGTAGCAACATGCCAACAGTGAGCCTGACCACACCTCATTTTAAGACCTACACGCTCATGGGTGCGCAGATGGGTGCGAGTACATTTGCTACTTACACAACATGGGTGCTGGCTGTGAAAATGACAACTGTGCTGGTCTGAATGTTTATTTAGAATAAGAACAAAAGCTTAGAATATACTAGATCTGAAATGTGGGGTTGGTAAATCAATTAG